CAGCCATACGGACACCTCAGATTAAGACATGAAGTTTTTCCATTATGTCAGTTGTTACATTACCTGGCCTGAGGCTTCCTATCTAGAATACTGCCTTTGAGTTGTGTCGAACCTTGTCTATGTGTGACTGGAGGTATCCCGGAGACGCCATCTGGATCAAACGACAACAAGCACAAATGCACGTGTAGTTAATAGAATTCCGACGCATTGGGCCGGCTCCCGGTAGTTGAAGAAGCTCTTAGACAAGTATTGGCATACCACCTGCCCTTCTACGGCACTTCAATCTCACTTTGATATATGACACTCTCTAAACCTGGAAAATATAACCATAAGAGCTGATCTTATTGACGTCCGAGTCAACATGCTGCTCGTTTTCTGGTGAGCTTGCGATTCACCAGCTAAGGAACCTTCTTAAATCATGTTGAGCCATTTACGCTGTTTCAATGCGTCCACACCATTCTAATATTGTATGACGTCCAACCACCGTTTAGATGGAATATATTGAGAGGACTATCACGTCGAATGCTACCAGCTTGTTGCAGGTTGATACAGCGTTTCTCATGGTGCATTAGCAACTACTGCAGGTACTGACTGGAGATGGCACACTCCGTCCTCTTGAGGCATAGTGCTGGTTCAAATAAGCAACAGGGGTTACAACTTCGCATCACACAAAATAGTGATGTGGCAACTGAACGGGCTTGAGAACGTTGAGATATCCCGTCATGTATACAACTGACAGTATAAGTTCCCAACAGTATTTGCAGGTATCCGTCAACTTGGATCAAAACCATTGACATGCTCATATATGGCCGACTCGTCGACTGCGAACAGAGAGAATCAAGTCATGTGAACATGAAAATGTCAGATGGAATAAACCTGTAGGCCACTTCATGTGGATCCGGATGCTACAGTGTATATCTTAATTACCAGACGATTAGTTCATGCATACCTGGCGGACACGTAACGGCAAAATAAGAGAAGTCCGTAGCTGTTCGTATCAACTCACGAGCTATGCGCTGTCCCGGGACTTAACTAAATACAGACAGGCATTGTTCCAACCAGTACTGGTGGTATGAGTTGTACAAAATTTAGGGCGATTGTTGATTAAGGGTATCCTGTCGTGGAGCGGATGATAGGTATAACTGGCCCGGATCGTCAAGGAATTGAACAATCCTAACTTGTTACAAGGCTGGCCCCTGGCACTGGAGGAATCGCCTCTGCAATAGCTTCAACCAACGAGAATGCAGAGCAATTGAGGATCCAGGTTCCCATATTGCTTCTATTTATGATTGTTTGTATCTTCTAAGCCTACTCCCAAGATATGTTGTTGTTAGTTATTTACTGCTCTAAGTTTGTCATTGAGATGAGTGAGCGGTAGTTAAATGGCGAGAAATGAACGAGCTTTGAAACGTTGCTAACCGCCCCCAAAGTTGGATCCTCCAGACCAGCGACGTATAGCTTTACCTGCGGCTCGTCCTCCTTGTCTCGGGTTAAAACAATTGGTCAGTACTAGGGGCATCAAGCTAATGACAGTAGCCGTTGTCTTGCTCCAATCCTGGGGGAGACAAGAATGGGTGGTGGAACTTGGAAGTCCTCTCAGAACGTGCATAACTTGGCCCTCCTTGGAGTACTGGAGGAAACTACGTACCAAAATATTATTAGAAGTCTGGTATGCAGCTTTGCTGATTTGATATATCATTTGTTGAACACTAGAAGTTGTTCACTTCCCTGAGCACCAAGGCAAAGGTTAAGAAGCAGGAGAAGGTAAGTTCTATAGCAAATATCTACAGATACTGGCAGAGGAGGTCAACCAATAATCACATCGAGGTCCCTTACGAAATGAGGGAGACGCCGTGCGAGCATTTGAGGAAACGGCCTAGCAGCGTAAGCATTGGATGCAAGAACCCAGTATCTATGATGAATGGCCGACGAGGGTACGAGTTCATTATTGTGCCCCATCATGACCAAGCTGTAACGCCTAAGGTACTGATTTAATACTGGCCGCAATATTGCGGTGCCTTGCTGATGCCCCGCACACAAATTTTTCTTCAAGTTCATGTGATGAATCACCTACGGCAATAGATATTAGACATGTCGATAGTATGTCGACTCGGAATACAAGAGCAGCGGTTAACAGAGACTGCGTCGGAGCCAACACTGCCCAGCCACGGCTATGGTCAATCACCGATGCTTGACTCCCATTAAGAACTGCAAAATCGTCGGCAATCTCCACCAGCCACGAGCGTTCTGACCCACGAGGACGGACGGGGCAGTCTAGGGGAGGAAAGAAAACTCAGGGCCTTGGCTCTACATGATAGAATTATCTAGGTGAGTTTAGCCTAAGCTCAGGGGACTCATTTCTGGGTTTATTTTGACACCCTTTATCAAAGTTTCATGTTTTCTTGCCCCCTGAAGGGCAGTTGAGCTTGGAGTCGAGCTTGTGCCTGTGCTAGTCTCAACTCGGGGGAGACAGTTGCTTGAGATTGGCCAAGGACTGGCTAGTTTGCCCAAACTTTGATCTCTAGCCTCTCCTGAATCTTCCCGCCCGGCTTTGAGAACAAACTCCACTCAGGTAAAGGAATCAATATGCATTCGATTCCACTCACACTTGATTGTGATGAACCTGCTACAGGAACGTTCAATATGTTACTGGCCAGCAGGTATACATCAGGGGGCATGGCAGCGTGGATACAGCTGTACATTATGTATCTGACTGGGGGTCGTTGTCTAATACAAACAGCGTTGCAGCACTCGATGAGCAAGATACATACAGATCGATTAATTTTTTTTACGATAACATGGTTTGTTAAGCGCTTGGCCATAGATTGTGGTCTAATAACATCCCCAGTTCAACGAGTCATTGGGGTGACATAATGCACCCGAGACTGACGTTAGTTTTCCAAGTTACAAAACCTGAAGACGTGATTCATATGAGTTTTCTAGTGCGAGTATGTGCGACGAGTCCAAGGCAGAACAAACCGTACGAGTGATTAACAGTAGAGGCTAATAAGCGGCCACCGGCAGTAGAGTGCAGCCATGATATTATGTGATTGCATTCATTGAAAGATGTTTGTTAACAATGGGCGATTTATTCGATTGGAAACGGCCGGGTTGAGTCTGTAACCAACATTCGTCCCACCCTATTGTCTGCCTGTCTATTCATTCATTCATTCTCAACTACCGTCACCTTCTGCAGCCACCATGTGTCATAATCGGAGCTCATTATCCAGTGCAAACGACCAAAATAAGGTGACTTTATTAGCCACTTGCGGCCCATACTGGTACGTCATTCACCCCGCGTCGTCATCCTGTGAAGCATCCATTTGAGCACAACGTTGTTTGCGAGGCGCTCAGGGGGAAAAAAGATGCAGTGATACCATCCATGACCCTCCAGCCATGCCGTTGGTCCAACCACCAAGTGCTGGCAAGATGCTTTCACACTGTCGAGTCGCGCCAACGGCCCGAGGGACAAGAGATGGCGTTGCAACGATGGTGGGGGACGTTGGATGAGCTAACGGGAGTTGGGTTGGGTATCAGCGCCAGCTAAATGCCAAGGTACCTCTGCATGAGTTGTCTGCCCCGCTGATCGCATGTACCTTATCCCAATATGCTGGGGTCCAGGGTCCAAGCCATTTCTTCGGTTCCTTGCCTATCAGAAACCCAATTAGAGTCATTACGTCTGTATCAACGTGAGGGTTTCTAGGGGATTTTACGGAGGACGTTGAATCACTTGCAAGAAGCTTTTGAGATCGGATTGAACAGGAAAGAAAGTCTTATCAGGCATTTGCTTACAGCTGTCTGCTACCTGACCAAGTATTCTCGGGCATTCAAGGGCCCTTCATTTTGAAGCATAGGCCTCTTGATGTCTTGTTTCTAAACAACCTCGCTAATCAAGACCCAATTCCAGTCGTTTGAAGAATTCATCATCGGAGAGATCCATTCTTAGCAAGACTGCAACCATGTCACCCCCGCAGGGCTCCTGATAATACCGTCAGCGTCACGGTAGAGGAGTCCGGAAACACTACTTCAACAGCCCGTGCCATGTGCTGCACTGCTCTGCTCTCCGGTTCTGCACTACGAGGCTGCCCCATCGGCCGTTTGTATCACAATTCTTAAATTCAAGGGCCTCCATGCTACAGTGTAATATCTTATCCCACAGCCCAATCCACCTCCCGCATTCCAGGTCATCTCACTCACCCTTCTTGTCGTCAAGTTCCCCTTGATTTGAGGAACACGACACAGTGCGCGTATAATTGTACCTTATGTAGGTGGTTGTCTTCCTGTTCTCATTGCTTCCCGTCCTCTCTTTTATGTACTTGTCTTCCCGAACTTGATCTCCCCAACCCACTTATCCTGTTATCCTCCGAACAGCAGCTTACCCTTTTCTTCTTCTTATGAAGTCACCGGGCAGGATTCCCAGGAGAAGAAACGCAGAAGCAAAGGCAACACGAAACAGAGACGAAGCAAGGCAAAGCAAGTAATTTAATTCCACTTGCAGGACCGCCATCACCAATTCAGCATCGCCACCCGGGCCAAACAACACACCACAACAATATCAATACGCCCCGCGTTGCACTGCGTCGTGCATCCAATCCCCAGTCCCAGTCCCCCCGTCAAACTCCTCCTATTGTTTGGCTTCGTTTGTTCCCTCTGGTCCTGCTTGATTCTGAAAGTCCAAGAGCCTATCTATCTATCTCTTGAGTTGAGCCAGACCTGCACGGCACGGCCACTGCACTGCACTGCACTGCACTGCACATCTATTCTGATTCCCCTCCCTTTCTCAATTTCCCTGCACACACACCCTGTGACTTGATACCTGTTCTGTTTCTGTCTACCTACCTAGTCAGTCTCCTCCACCTGCTCGCTCGGCCCATCACCAAAAAATCCCGTCCCTAACAGCAACAGCCCGCCGTCCCCTCTAAGGCCTTTTTTTAGCCCCAAAGGGCCCCCCAACCCAACTGCCCTCAGTTGACAGGCTGCTTCCTGCTTGCCGCTGGATCATGGACGGCCCCGGATATACCTCTGCGTCGTCTGCTTCTGCTCATACCGCAACTTCACATCGTCGCAAGCTCATCAAGAAACCTCCCACTTACGCATACGCCCGCTCCTCCTCTGGCTTCGATGGTGGTGCCTTCGACGCCCAGTCCCTTGAGAGCAAACGCAGTTCCCAGAGTCTGAGAAGAGCCCCCAGTGCTCCCCCAGCCCGCTCAAACCCCGCGACCGTGTCCGACTGGCAAGACTCTGATCGATCTCATCCTCAATTATCCGCCAACAGCAACACTCTTAGACCTGTCCCATCGCCCATCTCACCCCAGGGCGACTTCACCCCCGCTAATCACTGGGCGCCTGTCCCCCGTCATCCCGACCGTCTCTCCGATTCTCACCTCCGCCCTCTCAGTAAGACAGCGGTGCCTGACGACCTAATCGGCGCTCCTTTTGACGGCGCTGCTATTCTGAACCGCATCGAATCAATAAAGATTCCTAGTCCGAAGGCTGCTGCCCCTCGTCAATTCCCGCCCCAAATCGTTAAGGCGCCTACCGACTCTAGGCTTGCTAGCCCTGCCCTACGAACTTCGACCAGCTTCTCAGCGATGGACTCGTCCTTGAACGAGAAGAGCCTAGGCCCAAGGGCTCCAACTGATGGGCCTTCGGTCAACCCCAAGAGATATTCCGACGATGGCAAGGACCTCAAGCCGGCTGTTCTACGAAAGAAGTCAGGATTCTCCGGTTTCATGAACAGTTTGGTCGGATCACCCAAGAAGCCCGTTATCTCTGCACCCGAGAACCCCGTCCACGTTACTCATGTCGGCTATGATAGTTCCACAGGCCAGTTCACAGTCAGTTCACCCATCTCTTTGTTCTTATACTCGTTAACAGACTCTAGGGTTTGCCCAAAGAATGGCAGCGGCTTATCAACGAAAGCGGAATTCCTGAAAAGGAAAGGCGAGAAAACCCGCAAACTATGGTTGATATCTTGCAGTTCTACAAAGAGACCACGGAGAGGCCCCCAGAGGATCAGGTCCTTGAGAAATTTCATCATGCTGGTCAGTATGCCACCTCTCCGGCAACTGCAGCATCACCGGGCATGTACCCGTCAAACTATATGGGTATGTCACCGAACAATATTTCACCTACGAACCCCAGGTTTCCAACTGTCAATCATGAAGGAAGTTTTGAGAATCCCCGAGCACCACCGCCTGTTCCCCGAGGCCAGGTTGGTAAGGACCTGATGCCCAGTCGCCCAGCCCCGAAACCGCCCGTCAGCATGAGCAATCGACATATGCCTCAAGGCGCATACTCGACCAAAGACTCAGGCATCGGTATGTCTCAGTCCGGCGACGAATCCTACGGCATGTCAAAGGACGCTGGCCCTATGCTCCCCGAAGAGCACCGATCGAGATCCAATTCGCGTGTCACTGGACCTACATACGCCCCGACTGCACCGCAACCCAACCCACAGCTCGCCCAAGCGCAAGCCGCCGCTTATCAACAACAACTTATGCAACAGCAGCAAGAGCAAGCCATGGCTCAGGCCCAAGCTGCCATGTCTGGCGGCCTTGGCCGTGCTCCTAGTAAACGAACTCCTCATCCCCAGAACCCGAACATGCAGGCAGCTGCTGGGTATGGCCGCGCCCCGGAGTCTAACGGTGTACACAACGCACCTCGTCAGCAGGCTCCTGGAGCAGCCGTGCCTGGGGCTAGGCCACGACACCGGGCTCGTCAGAGCGCAGGCCTTGACATCGTTGCTGCCCTTAAGCGCATCTGTAGCGAAGGCGACCCTCGAGACATATACCGAGGATTCAACAAGATCGGCCAGGGTGCATCTGGAGGTGTTTTCACTGGTCACGAGCGTGGCACGAACAGATTGGTGGCTATCAAGCAGATGAATCTCGAACAGCAACCTAAGAAGGACCTGATTATCAACGAGATTCTTGTCATGAAGGATAGTTCACATCCCAACATCGTCAACTTTATCGACAGTTATCTGTGTGGTGGCGAGCTATGGGTCGTCATGGAGTTTATGGAGGGAGGCAGCCTTACGGATGTTGTCACCTTCAATATCATGTCTGAGGGGCAAATCGCTTCTGTGTGTCGCGAGACCCTTCTTGGTCTGCAACATCTGCATTCCAAGGGAGTCATTCACCGAGATATTAAGTCGGACAACATCTTGCTATCCCTGGAGGGCAAGATCAAGCTGAGTGAGTGACAAGTATTCCAGTGGCGGTGCAAGGCACAACTAACCGCAGCAGCCGATTTTGGATTCTGTGCGACCATCAACGAAGCCCAGAACAAACGAACAACCATGGTGGGTACACCCTACTGGATGGCGCCCGAAGTCGTTACTCGGAAAGAGTACGGGCGCAAGGTTGACATTTGGTCTCTGGGTATCATGGCTATCGAAATGATAGAAGGCGAGCCACCATACCTGACGGAATCTCCGTTGCGTGCTCTGTGGTTGATTGCAACCAACGGAACTCCTCACATTAAGAATGAACAGGATCTTTCTCCTGTGTTCAAGGACTTCCTCTACTTTGCACTCAAGGTGGATCCGGAGAAGCGAGCCAGTGCTCATGACCTGCTGAGGGTAAGTCTGATGTTCCTGGTTAAATGATCTCACTGACCCTCTTTTAGCATGAATTCATGAAGCAGTGTGTTGACCTAGGTCAGCTATCGCCATTGGTGCGAGCCGCTCGAGAACAGAGGGCGCAAGAAAAGGCTCGCAAGGGGCAGTAGGTAAACCCCGGGAGAAGAGTTCCTCCTGCAGATCCCCCAGTGAGAAAAGAGAGACTTCGCCGACTATTGCCGGCGTTTCTCAGACGATGATCGATGTATCTCCAAGTCGATACAGTGGTCTCGATTGACGACGTCCCCACGGCCACAATCCGTCCTTGGGTCACGATTCTGCATACCCAACTATCTAATGACCATTTTCTTCCACAAATTATTCAACTGTCATAGCAGGCCTTGCATCTGGAAGTTGGAATTGATACGATACCGCGTCAAGGGGTGACTCGGATTATGTTATACGCATGAGGTCGCGAGTTCGACACATTGCACGAAAAGAAAAACCCAAAAGGTGCCAGCAGGCGGACACCAAGATGACGCCTGGCAGCACATAGATATGACACGCTGGATATACCCCCGCATACGAATTGTTCTTGCACATCGAGTTCGCGCTCGAGGCTGGGTCTGTCACGATACTAGACCTGGCCATGTCTCCTCACCAGCTTTGAATCATAAAAAAAATAGTTTGCTTCCGTAAATTGGTGCCCCGGCTTTTTGTGAGATGTGTCTGTGGTGATGATGCGAAATGGGATTTTTTTGTATTCGGGTGTCAGTCTGAGTGACTATGTTTAACAGACCTAACGCTCAAAGCCAATCAATCTCACCGAACGAACGAAGCCAATACTTAACTAAACACTCTAACGCAAAGACGACAAGGCAAAACACCAAAATCACTAGATCAGCCTGCGGCGACTATACTTTGTTTCTTCAATGGTGTCCGTCCTACAAGAACTTGCTCTTCTGGAACATGAGGCTGCCTTGCTCCCATTGTTGGTAGAAGGGGCTGATATGCTTCCGGACTCTCGAGCAACCTTCGCCCTCTCTGACAGCGGCGTGGCCTTCCATGCCTGTGGGTAGCCCATTACCAAGCACAGCAACAGTGCCAAGGGAGGCAGGTCGAGCTTGGTGTTTGAGCTTGTCGTGGGAATGTGACGAGAATGGTGAGGAGAAGTGTATTGAGTTGCGTACGGAGGCTGCTGCTGCACGGGCTGGGAGGAGGGTTTTCTTGATGAGTCGGTTGCGCAAGGACCGAGCGGCGCGGACCAGCGAGATGGAGGGAGTGCAGAGTAGTTGCATATTCGGAAAATGATGTCGAGCCCTTTCTTGAGGTGTTGATATGAAGGATGAGCTGGTTATCTGAACGTGCACTTGATTTTGGAATGTTGAGTAGACTATGGAAACGATATCATGAGCGAGTATGTGTTTTCGGTCTTTTTATAAGGAGGAGAGAAGAATAGGAAGAGAAGTTATAGACAGAAGACGATTAAAAGGCTTTAGTTAGTCCTTCCGAGTCATTGCATGAGTTGGCCGTGTTCTCCTCCGAAACCACCCTCCATCATGAGCCGGAAGACGATGCGGTCTGCCGGTGGCACCTCGGGGTCCTCTTTGATATGTAGGTGTATGTGTCTTGCACGAGATCCTTGGAACGTGGACGAACTTGGTTCGTTGGATCTGTAGTGTCGTTTCGCATGAGTCGTTTATCGAAAGGTTCAGCTCTTTACTTGACTGTTTAGTAGTCTTGAGTAGATGTGTTCAACGTTCACTACCTAGTTGTGATATAAAAGGTATTTTTGTCTTGGTTCCTGCATCCTCATGAGACATTTCTCCCGATGTCTCTCCCATAGGCTTCGATTTAGGAGACTGACTCTGGGCATGATCTCATGCCTCCTATCTCCTCCTTCGTGTTGGTATCGGCCCATATTCTCCGCCGCCAGTTTGGTTGTTGACCCGAAAAACAAAAAGGCTGGCCCGGATCTTTGACCCGGTTTTGATCGTCTCGAAAGATGCGAAAATACGGATAGAGCGGTGAGAATGACCTAGACCCAAATTATTGGCTCAAGCTGGATTGCCGTTTTCAACATTCAAGTGCCATCGTGATTGGCTGCTCGGAAACATGCGATGATTGATTGACATTGGCGTGCATTGGTGGATTATTGCGGATTAGGTGGACTTGGACCAGACTACCTACCTCAGCTAAAGTCACGATCTGCCTCTTGCAGACGCAAGGGACGAGAAACTTCGGTTGTTAGCTCACGATACCCATCAACCTTGTTTCACACTCGAAAGTCTAATCAAGAAACAAGAAAGCATATTCGTTTAGACAACCAATCACCAGAGAAAATAAGCGGTTCTTTTTGTTGAGTTCATTCATTATATGCCTGTGGCTATTAAGGTTAGATCCTCTGTCTGGATCTCCTCGCTCCGTGTCTAATACGGCAGTTATTCATCCTGCTCTAATGGTATCCAGAGCTGATCTAGTTTTATCATCATACGTCCCTTTTTTTTCTCCCTTTGCCCTTGCTCAAAGCTCAAAAAATAGGACACCAATTGTTTCCGGAACTCCAAACAAAGAAAATCAAACCCTCTTCCGGGCCTTCCCAATCCAGCCATTCATTCGTAGGAACCGTTCTTCGCTAACCGTCAAAATAGGGCGCCGCTCGCTCAGTAGCATGTGTAGCCACCGTCGATGATGCAGTTGGAGCCAGTCATGAACTTGGAGGAGTCTGAGGCGAGGTAGATGCAAAGGCCGTTGAGCTCGTCAACGTTACCCAGTCGGTTCTGGGGTGTCAAGGACTTCCAGATCTTCTTCTGGGCGTCAAGCGCAGGAACTCGGTTGAGGGCAGTGTCCATGTAACCGGGAGAAATGCAGTTGACCCGGATGTCATACTTGGCCCACTCAGCCGCAAGGGACTTGCCGAGTTGAATGACACCGGCCTTGGAGGCATTATAGCAGCTCTGCTCCTGGGGGAAGTTGACGATGGAACCAGACATGGAAGCGACGAGAATGATGCTACCGGGCTTTCCAGCAGACATCATGGCACGGCCAACGGCCTGAGACATGAGGAAAGAGCCGGTAAGGTTGATGTCGATAAGGCGACGGAACATGGCAGGGTCGTAGGTCTCAGCCTTGATGTTGGAGTCGGCGATGCCGGCAGAGTTGATGAGAACATCAGGAGCACCGTAGCGCTCGACAACCTCGTCGACTGCAGCGTTGATGGCAGCGCCGTCACGAACATCGACCTTAAAGAAGGAGACAGGTAGGCCAGTCTTGTCGTGAAGCTCAGCTGCGGCTTCGTCACCAAGCTCCTGGTTGGCGTCGAAGAGAACAATGTTCTTGGCACCAGCCTCAGCACAAGCACGAGCCATGTGGTTTCCGAGACCACGGGCAGCGCCAGTGAGGATGATGGTCTTGCCATAGACACTCATGTTGCGCATGGTGTGGGGGAGCTGCTCAAAAGTCTTGCGGGTGAGCGGCTGAACGATATCGCTCTCGGTAGAAGGAGCACGAGGCTCGCTGGGAACTCGAGCAGCTGCCTCGGGAACATTGACTGTGTGCTTGTCACCAGTGCCTTGGCCAGCACTGTAGACTGTGACAGGAACCTCCTTCTCGCGAACAACGTTCTTCTTCAAGTTGGTGTCAATGACACGCTGCACAGGTGTGGCTGTGAAGCATCGCGAGTTCTTGGGGAGAGCAATGGCAGGGGCCCGAGTGGCACGGAGGATGTTTCGAGAAATGGAGTAAAAGGCCATTGTGAAGGTTGTGAAGGTTGAGTTGGTGGTTGAGAATACCTAGGGAGGATACAGGTATATAAGAACAGGAGTGATTGCGGAAGACGAAGCGATTATATATTAAAAGGTCTTGGTCTTTTGTTGCAGACGCAAGTGCTCAACCGAGAGAATGGGTATAGAGTGAAAGATGAAGATTGTAAAAGAGTTGAACAGATGGAGGGATTCTCTCGATATATAGGTCAAAAGGTTGTGGGTCCGAAAGTAAACACAGATAGAGTGTGAAGTGTGTTGCGGAGGTGGAGGGAGTGCAGGCAGTGAGAGCAATGCAGAGAAAACTCTAGACCTGGGCACGAAAGTTTTTTTTTTTCTTCCCTTGTACCTTGTCGCAGAAATTGTATGGCAGGGTCGCAAGGAAAGCTTTTACTTTGCTTGCGAGGTAAAAAGGCAAGGTAAAAAGGTAAAGGTAGACTAGGTGCAGAATTTAGTGTGGCGGTATGTCCGTGAGGAAGGCGAACGAATGGGTGTGGTGTGGGCGTGGGACCGTGGGTGTGGTGTTGCGAGGCTCTTGAGGTGGACTGTAAGCGATAAGGTGCGGAGCAGCGCAGTGCAGTGCAGGTGACTTCAGCTAAGGCTAGAATCGAGGGATCTGCTCTCGTTTGGCGGCTCTTGGGGGCTTCTAGTGCTTGTTCAAGGAGGGTGGCAGCGGGCGCGGGGGCCTGGATTGAGAGAACAGTGGAACCGGGAGTAAGAGTGCAGGCAAAGATAGAACAGTTAGGTATGTGAAGTGCAGATCTCACGGCAGGAAAACTCCGAAGTCAGGTAAGTCCAAGAGTGAACGGGATGGACCTTTGGGCAGTGGATGGCAGTGCAGTTCTGTTGTTTGTTCAGGAAAGGTACGTTTCGCTTGTTCCAAGTTTAGGTGACTGCGGGAGGACCGGTGCTATTTTCGGGGCTCTTCAATAGCGACTCCAGAACGGCAATTCAGTTAATGCTTTTGTTCGTTGTGTAGAGCTGATCTGAGATGTCCTGGATGTCTCGAACAACGGAGATTCGGGTTTGGGATTCGGATCCGGGACTGGAGGCAAGCTTGTTGGTGGCAAATGCTACCTGTGTGTGTGCGCTATGGTGCAGCAGAAAGTTATCTCTCCAGAGGTGGTGCGGAGAAGGTGTCGATGAAAACCTGTAACAGGACGTTAGTCGCAGTTATCATCGAATTTGGCCACAGCAGAAAGTAACCAAGTGGTTGGCAAGTTTTATTACGTGTGCAAGGCAACAAGAATAACTTCATTGGGTATAACATACAGCTTCAGACGAACTTTTGATCGAAGTGGGAAAGGATTCTGTGAGAAGCTAAGGTCGTAGAAAATGCGTATGTGTGATGAAAGGTTATGGGGAACTAGCTCCGACCGGCAATGGATTTATATAGGTTCCATGGCATCCAGATATCCATGCCTACGCCTACCTTACCTCATGGCAGCTACAATACGGAGTACAAAATACACAATACACACGCAGGTGGAGCAACCACCGGCACGCTTCCTGACGCCCAAGCAAGGGAGGACGGCTCTTCACCGACTTCGGTGTAAGACGGTGAGGTCAGATCTATATGTAGCGAGCAACCGTAGAAAAGGTATGGAGGTACATTGGTACTGGTTCCTGAATTAGAAGTTCCTTAGTTCGGGTCTAAGAAAGGGGGTAGCACGAACTGGACTCACCTCACCCTCACCTCACCTCACATCATGGAGAGACCGGGGCACCGATGTCGCATCAGCCGGGGGGCTTCCTCCCAAATGTGAGACGGGGTGGGAGATTTGTGATGGTCACAAGATCGATTGCCAGGGCCACTGACAGGGTCATTGCATGTCCTGTCAAGAGATTGATCAAAGACGAGACGCGGACTAGACCACAGTAGAGGCGCATTCAGGCACGCAGAAGCAGTGCAATGTGGGGGAGCATTGATTGCATGGTCTGAGATTTAACTCAACAGGTAGTCTTTGTTTTGAATCTTTGAACATGGGCTACATTGGTATTCATGGGGATTGGGAGAACATTCTATAGTGTTTTACATATAGGTAGCCTTAACTGGTAGTTGGGGTGAGATGGTGTTGTTTCCTCTTACCTCGTTTTGAAAGCGAGGTATTGCGCAAAGTTGGGTTACGTAAGGTATTTTCAAAAGGTCCCAATTGACAATTGTATCACCAGTCAATCAAGATACCTCTGCTACGGAGTATTGCACATACAGCCGGTCCGGGTTTCTTCTCTCATAACCCTCCGACTTTTTTTTTTATAGCTTTGATAACAACGTGGGGTTCTCGGCTGCTTCTCAATGCCCACATCGGAACATGCATATGCAGCTCTAATTCAGAGGTGACGGTCTAGAGGCAGCCTCTTTTCTCACCCTTCTCTTACGTCTCACGTTCACGTCTTTCTTTCTCTGGAAACACAGACACAGACACGACACAAAACACGTCACGACATCATTGCGTGTCCCTCTCTGTTCAACGCCAATCTCGGACAAACAGTCAGCCATTGACGCATACGGTGGCACGGAAATGACACTTTGCACACCCGTCATCGAAAATTACAGTACATAGCTACATCCAATGTCCACGATGGATGAGGTTGAGAGAGCGGGAAACAAGCATATGGGGCATCCAGGGATTCGATGCACCAAGTGGAGAGAAGATCAATTAGAAACCCAGATTCCCACGGGCAGCCGTGGGGAGCTATGGCGGGTCGCGGGGAGCCAGCTCCTAGCCTCTAGGGGCTCTTCGGGACGTTGCAGGGGTAGCTCTGGCTAAGCTGGGCTCCACGGGCTAGGTAAGTTCCATAGCATTTTCTCGGTAGGTATTCCTGGGACCCCCACCTTTCTCTGTTTTCCTCCCTCTCAACCTCGTCCACAGCGGGCGCTTACATGATGAGATGGGTGGTGATATGATGGGATGTCATGTCTCCAACTCTTTTGCTGGATAACTCGGACAATGAAAGGACTGCCCATTCGTCCTCCGGGAGTCTCTCTCTCAACACAAACAAAGTTGATACAAGGCCTCATTACAGTCCGAGCGTTCCGGGGAATGTCTTGGCCTTCACCCGCCTATTTCTAGGTTCTAGATTGCTGCCCACTTGGCTTCGCGGCTGTCCGGCCACCGGCAAACAATTTGAGCACAGACGTGCACGTTGCCTCAACACCAAAGACAATCCAAATATGTAGCAGCAGCATTCACTAACTTGTTGATGATGGCTGGCCTCTGAGCTAAACTGGCACCTCATCTGCTGGGGGCTTGCAGTAGTTTGGTCTGTCACCATCCTAACGGCAGGCTTTGTTCCATCTTTTCTAGGCAGACAAATTCTTTTCCTCCACCCTCTAACTTGGTACACCGCTATCCACCCAACCAAAACAACTGCTCGAATAATGCGCAGCAATTTGCTACGGCTACAGTTTTCAGACCCGAGCCCAGCTGCGCACGCATATACAGACAGACGACATCTGATGTTGCGCGTCCCCTGAGCTGAGGAGACACCACGGAAGGTTTCAACTTCCAGCCTCGGGTAACACGACCGCAGTCGCAATGATGCTGATGCTGATGCTATTGTTGATCCTGGTTCATCCACCACCATCCACGTCTTGGGTCGAGTCAGGACTTCCTCACCGAAACCGGTCCTAGGTGAGGGAGGTCATAGCTACAAGACATAACATGCAGATACTCTTTTGACTCCGCCTCCTAATGAAACTTCATTCTGACCACGAGAGTTCCTTTTTGTGTCAGAACCATATACTCACAAACATCCCTCTAGCCCCAACAATTCTTCAGACCCTACTCATGGTCACAATAATAGTGCTCAGTCTAGGTACTCACCTCTCTCGGTGTGCCATCCCACCTCCTTGGATAGACCAGGCTACACCTAGATGGCCAAGACAGCATTAACTAACACTAACAACCCACCCATTGGCGCCCCCCATTTGTCCATACCACCCTGACCGAGAATGTCCTCTCACCTTCTCAGTTCGTGGTCTGAATGATAGGAAACAATGACAAAGATAGCTTAGTTGTATCAGTGGGGGTTGGCTCTTTCATTCAACAACTCTACTACTCTAGTCTATTTAATGGTCACGAAAATGACGAGATGAAACCAGCTACGCTTTGTCGATGAGCATGGCGATCATCATTTGTGACTTGATCCAAGCCAAATTTCCATCATGATGACTTTTACGGGGTAAACACCAAAAGACGGTGTATACATCAGACTCGTTGTATTTTTTACTAACTCGTTTTATCGAATGGCTCCGTTTGTACCCGTCCAGAAGACAAAGCAAAAACAAGATATCAGACGATATTCGATTGTCTCTCTGAGAGGCTGCATCGCTAGATTCTTGCGTGAGGCAGAGCGGACTTGGAGCTCCTTGTGTGACCCACATGATCTTCTTCGTTTACAACTGATCTGATCAATATCTGATGGGAGCAATTTCCTAGGACAAGCACAAGCGAGCTCGTCAAGGGTAAGAGAATCGAGGCACACTTTGAACAAGGCCTTGACATCTTGTGAACAGCGTTGGCCGAATGTGTACTATGCACCAATTTGATCTGCAATGTCAAATGACTTTCTTTGTGTAAACAGTCTGACAATAAGCTCACTAGATGACATACTACGTAGTGCAGTATAAGCACTATCGAAATCGACATCGAAATCAAGGTGCCTCCTGTCAAACCAAGTGATCAAATTGTGCGAGGTTTACTCTGTACTGACATGACATGTTGAGGCCCATCTCACAACCAGGCACGCAACACATTGCCTGCAGCCCTGCCCTGCCCTTGGAGCTATCGTGTGGTGGGGAGCTGTCAAGGGAACAGGGGGGCACAACCAGGTGCGCATGCATGCATTCGCGCGAGTTCCAGAATCCTCGCAGAAGCACGGCCCTTCCATCCCTTATCATCGTCCATCACGACAGGCGTGCCCAGGTCTGGGGCATTGTGTGGACTGGACAGGATTTCCCATGTCGAACATCACCAAGTTGGCGAGGA